GAGCTCTGGTGTCAAACCCACAAACAGAATTACAAAACTGGAAAAAGAAAATGATCAAGTCAGTAGTCTTTGTGTTGAAACTTAATATGTACAAAAATTTATTTCATCATTTTTCCTCTGGTGTGTGTGTGTGTATGTGTGTGTGTGTGTGTTTTCTAATGAAGTCCAGCAGTAGAACAGTCTGGTCATGATGACAGAAGGAGCTGCCGTCCCCCTCCAGGCCACCGGGGGGAGACACACACCCCTCTGGGCAGGTTGCATAGACACACAGCTTTCACGCAGCTGCCTTATGGGATAGCTACAGAGCGCAGTTGGAGGACTGCCGGCTTAACTTCCTGAATATCAGAGACAAAGAAAAGTTTCCGGAGATGGTTCCGGTAATAGTCCGATGTGGCTCCTCCTCTTAGCATCAAGAGGAAGAAGGGAGGGGACTCGCCTGCGGAGAGAAGAACAAACTGGGTGTAAATTAAGACGACAGCCACACGTGAGGCCTAAATATCGTGGACAGGAACGCTGCCATCTTGAGCCAATGACGTCATTTGGAGTCGCGATGGATAAAAACACTTGAACTTGAAACGTTTTAATTAATGTGCAGTTTGATGAGTTTGGTCCATGTCCCGTCTGACAACACGGATGATCAGGCAGCAATTCAACCTTTTCATTCATCTGTTCATTCTTTTCTTAAGAACCTGTTTCCCACAAAGATCTCAACACGGTCTCCTCATGTGTTGTCCACACACCGGAGACACTCACTTTACTTTTGTCATGAGAGAATCAGAGAAACTGGAGAAGAAGATTTAGAAGCTCAAACGATCAAATCAATTATCGGCTGAATTGAAAGTTGGAGCGTCATGTCGTCCTCCTTCATCCGGTCCTTGATTCAAACTGAGCTCTGGGGTCTGACTCGTGCTTTGGGTCGTTTTTTGCGTCGGACACTTACGAGTGTGAACTGGTCGTAAACCTGCATGAGGTCCTCGTTCTTGTACTGCTCCAGCACCACGAAGTTGTCCAGGTTAGAGCTCCCCCTGCGGGCGCAGTCCTGGCAGTGCACCACATATGTTTTCCTACTGTTGCTCTCGCTGGTGACGAACAGGAGGTCGAACACCTCCACCTGAGCGCCGGAGAGACAGAAGAGTTAAAACAGGACGACGAGCCGCAGCAGCAGAGTGAAGGTTGAGAGAACGTTCGGTCGATACCTCGCAGATGCTGCAGTAGTGCGCCGGCTCGTTCGCCGTCCTCCCGTGCCACACCAGCTCCTTCCCAGCAGCCAATAGCAGTTCCCGCTGCATCTGACACTGCTTCAGAGTCCGTAACAAACAATACCTGACGCAGAGAAACACAAAACATGAGCGAGTCCACAGCAGCAACACAAAAACCAACACAGGAGTCATGACGGAGGTTTGTTCTCACTTGATCATCTCAAACAGCCTGTGGTCGGACACTTTGATGTTCCTGGCCATGTTCCAGGAGAGGTGGATCATGGGAACGATGGATTTGACGCTCTGCAGTTTGTTCCACTCGTAACGCTCCACTGCCAGTTTGTACTGGTGAGCTGAGGGGAAACCAGAGAAACTCTTTTATCCTTCGTGTTGAGGAGGCCGACAGTTTGTTAACCAGTCTGTGAGAAGGTTTTAAAGTGATGATGAAGCAGATCACAGCCGTTTCATTGATTGAAGATTTTTTTTAAATGCTTCAGCTCTTAATGAACCTCTCAGGTTCCAGAGTTTTAATTCAGCGCCTCAGGTCTGATAATACAGGTCACAAACATGAGTCTCGTGTTTTAAAGCTATTTTCCATATTCATCAGTATTTTAATCCCAACATGAAACCAGACCAAACCTTCTGGAGAACCTTTTGAAAATCTTATCTCTTAAACTGCGATTGTAAGATGTCAGATCCATGGGTTCACGTTATCTCAGCACCAAGCACCACCCCCCCCCCCATCTTTCATGTCCAACTCTTCTGTCTCACCTGTGAGGGGTCCGATGTTCCACGCGATGTTGTTGCACCAGCCGATGGCCTGAACCCAGTGGACGGTGCCTGTGTTGAGCCACACCAGGTCTCCTGGACGCTGGATGAAGCGATAAACAGGCACGTTGGACTCGTACAGGTCCTCCAGGTTTGGCCACCAGGAACCCATCAGGAAGTTGATGTTGTTCCTGTAAAAAGGAGACGCAGGTTTCAGTATCTCCTCCGAAGTTCAGCTGAGAAACTCAAGTAATCGGTGACGTACTTTTCACAGAAGTCGTTGATGACACCCCAGTAAGGTTCAGGTACAGCGAACCACTCACAGTCACCGGGACCGATGTTGATGTTGACCGAGCAGAAGTTGTTGTTCTCTTGATGACCTGCAGAGACGAGACTTTACTAACAGAGTAAGAAAAAAGCGACAGCAGTGGTAGTTTGCCGTGTGTTTGTGTTACCTGGCGTCCGGCTCCCTGGCACCTTCATGTAGAGCTGCACGGTGTTCATGCCCAGGATGGTGTGTCCGACGTGGCTGAGCAGGTTCCCGGCCGACACCACCCGGGAGAAGGCCGGAAGCTTGGCCAGCTCCTGAAGCTGCTGTTTCCACCTGGGACAGTTGACGTGTGAGTTACGTTCAAAAACAACATTTAAAAAGACGTGTTCGCTCTGCAGCTGATACTTTCACTCACTTCTTATCGTCCGAGAGGTCGATGTTGGTGCCAAACTTCAGGTGTTTGAACTGACCTTTCCGCCGCCGCAGTGCACTGACGAATCATGAGAGAACGATGAAGTCAGTGCGAGAAAAAAATAATAAAATAAAATCTGAAAAACTCGCATCTAATGAGAAAAGAAATGTTACCTGTCTGAGGAACCTGCCTCTGCCTCCATCTCCTTCTTCTTCTCGTTCTCCTCCTAAAACAAAAATCACAACGTTTTAACAGAACTCCGGCTGCACATGAGCGTCTGTGGTGTGAGCGTCCGTCTCGCACTGACCCGCAGAGACTCCTGGAAAGACGAGGCCTGGTACTGGGCGTATTTGATGATGGTGGTGTGCGAGCGGCTGCTCTCGCAGCGCCACATCTTCCTGCTGCCGCTGGGGTCCCAGTTCTCATCGGTGGGCTGAGCTAACTGGGTCCGCACCTCCACCAGATGGTCTGGGTTGGCCTCCACCAGAGTCTTGGTGGAGAACAGGCCCAAGTCTGCAAGTGAGTGAGTAGTATTTGAATAAACCTGTTTCATTTTCATACGTAACAAACCAAAGTGTTTCTTCACAGAACTGAAACTGTGACTGAAGAAATAAAACTTCCTAAACAGTCAAAGCAACAAGTGACCAGTCTCTCAGGAGACGTAACAGGAGCACAGGGTCGCTGTCATAGAAGAGCACACGAGTTCTACTGCAAACACGTGCAGTAACGTTTTCCACTTGCAGGTGGTGCTGTTGTCATACATGTCAAACTCATTCACAGAACACACACAAGCACAGAGACACGCCCACAGAGCCACGTGAGGAGAGTAACATCCCGTTCCTGCTGCTGTCGTGACAGAAAGTCAAAAACTAAACTAGAACAATAAAAATGAAATGTCTGTGAAGCACTTCAGCAGAGTGAAGTGTGTGTGTGTGTGTGTGTGTGTGTGTGTGTGTCTCACCCAGTTTGAGGGCTCCGGCCAGGCCTCTGATGACGGTGACTGGGTTAGAGGAGTTGGTGCAAAACTGATGGAGCGGCGGGAAGAAAGCGTCCCTCTTGTTTTCCAGCTGCAAGTCAGAGAGGAGACACAGGATTGGTCAGGGAATGA